AGGCTGTGGTCTTTGATCTTCATCAGTAAATATTTTAAGTCCTCTTCACTTTCAGCAAGCAAGATTGTATCATCTGCATATTGCAGGTTGTTAATGCTGATGCCACATTTTTCTTCATATAACCCAGCTTCTGGGATTACTTGCTGAGCATACAGATTGAATAAGTATGGAGAAAGAATACAACCCTGTTGCACACCTTTCTTAATTTAAAACCATTTGGTGTTCCCATGTTCTGTTTGAACAGCTGCCTCTTGGTCCAGGTACAGATTCCTCATGAGCACAATTAAGTGTTCCGAAATACTCATACTTCGCAATGTTGTCCACAGCTTGTCATTATCCACACAATCAAAAGCCTTTGCGTAGTCAATAAAGTACAGGTAAACATCTTTGTAATATTCTCTGCTTTCAGCCAAGATCCATCGGGCATCAGCAATGATATCCCTTGCTCCACGGCCTCTTCAGAATCCAGCTTGAACCTCTGGAAGTTCTCTGTCAATGTATGATTGTAGCCATTTCTGTATTACCTTTAGTAAAACTTAACTCACATGAGATATCAAAGAGATTGTCCAATGATGTCCATATTCCGTTGGGTCACCTCTCTTTGGAATGGGCATAAATATGGATCTCTTCCAATCAGTGGACCAGATAGTTGTCTTCCAAATTTCTTGGCATAGATGAGTGAGTGCCTCCACTGCTGCCTCACTTTCTTGAAAGATTTTAATTTTTATTCCATCAATTCCTGATGCCTTGTTCTTTGCCAATTCCTTCAATGCACCTTGGATTTCTTCCTTTAGTATCATTGGCTCTTGATCATATGCTACCTCTTGAAACGGTTGAACATCAGCCATTTCCTTTCGGTACAGTGACTCTGTGTATTCCTTCCATCTTTTTTTGATGCTTTCTGCATCATTCAATAATTTGCCGAGAGAATCTTTCAATAACGAAAGCGAAGCTTGAATTTTTCCTTCAGTTCCCCCAGCTTGAGAAATGCTGAGCATGTTCTTCTTTTTTGGTTTTCTGACTCCAGATCCTTGCACATTTTGTTGTAATATTTGGCTTTATCTTCTCGAGCTAATCTATGAAATTTTCTCTTCAGTTCTTGTACCTCCTCATTTCTTCCATTTGTTTTAGCATCTCTATGCTGGAGAGCAAGTTTCAGTGTTTCTTCTAACATCCATTTTGATCTTTTCCTTCCTTCTTGTCTCCTTAATGACTTTTTGCTTTCTTCATATATGATGTTCTTGATGTCATCCCACAACTCTTCTTGTCTCCATTCTTTAGTGTTTGATGTATCTAATCTGTTCTTCAAATAATCTCTAAATTCAGGTGGGATATGGTCAAGGTCTTATTTTGGATCTTGTGGACTTGTTTTCATTTTCCTCAGCTTCAGTTTGAATTTGCATATGAGTAATTGATGGCTGTTCCACAGTCTTCCCCTGGCCTTGTTTTGACTGATGATATGGAGCTTTTCCACCATTTCTTTTCACAGATGTAGTCAATTTGATTTCTATGTATTCCATCTGGTGAGGTCCATGTGTATAATCGTCTCTTATGCTGTCTAAAGAAGGTATTTGAAATGAACAAATCATTGATTTTGCAGAATTCTATCATGCGATCTCCAGCATCATTTCTATCACCAAGGCTATGTTTTCCAACTACTGATGCTTCCTCTTCGTTTCGAACCTTTGCATTCCAATCACCAGTAATGAGCAACACATCTTGATTGCATGTTTGATCAATTTCAGATTGAAGAAGTTGG